CCAACCTTAATGATTCTATGATTCCATATTAAACACATTTTTTTCATTTCAGACACATTTATTATGTGCAGCAGCAATTATTTCTCATTGCTGTTACAAAATATGTATTCATCCTTTTCACTGGAAGAATGAGACAGTACAAATGCATCATCACTCTGTCTCAATCTGCCTCTTGCTCATATCAGGCCTTGCTCTTTACATATTTATTGGTTTTGGTGAGCTATTGTGTGTTCATTAGGTGGAAATAGTGAATACAATTTTTTTCCACAATAATTACAGTGTTCTGCGATTTTCCCAATTATTTCCATTTTCTCATCTTGAAAAAAGGGAAGATATCTCACGACAGAAAGAGAACAAGTAAAATTCAAAAAGTTCTTGATACCACATGACATAGAAGAATCTATTCAGTTATTTTACTTATACCTGTCTGCATATATCTTGGGAGTCCTAGTTATTTTGACTATATGGGCTGTCATATTTCTGTTTCATTGTCATACAGTCATATTTCTGTTTAATAAACTGGGAAACTGAAGTTAAAGGTATTTCCATAATCATTCTTAGATTAGTTCTCTATCCAAATTATAGTTAGTAAATACAGAACATGAAATCTGTATACACAGGTAATTGCCAAAAATATGAAAATTTCTACATGTGTCAGAGAAAATGTCTACTCTAAGCCAGTATAGTGTATAAAATACAGGCTGGAGAGGGAATGTTCATATAATGCAGAAGACTTTGAGAAGGGTTTAGAAGTAGACTAAAAGGAAGGAAGGACACCATTAGGCATTAAGAAGAGTAAGTATAGTGAGTCAAACAAAAGAAATAAAATACATTGGTTTGGGTTCTTTTCCTAAATTCTTCAAATTATCATGATTTTGTCAAGAAACAGATAGGTAATTAATTTTTGTCCATTAAAATGTGCCATCTGTGTGGAAAACACTAATTCTACTTAGTGAATTTCTAGGTGATAGCATGTGTTTGTTATCCTCAACCTAACCTAATTAATATCAATTATAAAACATCCTTTTTCCAGTTAGCTTATGTATTTCAGGAGACTGCAGTACATATTTGTGCATACAATTTTTGCATTATATAGCTTGAGTGATTCTGTGCAACTGTTTCTCAGCCACTCATTAAGCTGTTAATTTGGAATTTAAATATGTTTGGATTCTGAACATAGAACTTGTCTGGATTTAGGTCAAATGTGTCATGACTAAGCTTTGTTTTCTGCAGGAATGACCCCAGTTCTTACCCCCCAGAACTGCTTTGCCTCGGTTCAGATCAGGTCTATTATATGTATCTGCAAAGGTGATATATTTTTTCTGAATAGCCTACTTGTGCAGGGAACATTTTTAACTCGCAGAGAGGTTGTTCCCTTCCTCCCTCAGTATTTAGAGGTTGTCTGGAGTTAGTCCTAAGGCTATACTTTGAAGCACTGCAAAGCAGCCACAGGATCTAGTCCAAGTTACACCACGAGGACTGACAGTCACTGAGAACTGTGCTTCCACTATCTAGAAAATGGATATGGCAATTGGCGATGCCAGTTGTCTTAGAAATATTTTGAAGTTAAAATAGTGATTATTTGTAAAACACTTTTGAGACCTTCCTATGAAAGGTACTGCTTATGTTTTACTTCAATGGTTTTGGCTAACTTACCATCTTTCAGAGAAGCAGTTTATTTTCTTTGTCCAAAGCAGATGGAATCCTTGCACATTATGTATATGAGCACTGAAAAAAATGAAAGGAAGTGAACACATTCTATGGGATTTGACATGGTCCAAGAGTGATTACAAATTTATAATCCACTTGGGAGACTTTGCTGATTTCTTAAGCAGCTTGAGTGGTTTATGAACAGCATGCAATTTCATTGTGAATGTCAGATTAATGCTAGATGAATGCTTTAAGCAAAATTCATGCTGTCTTAGGTCGATTTATTTAACCCATTGAAATGTTTTTATACTCTGTTTTATGGTTTACATTACTAACTATAGTATATACATTCCCTTTCCTGACAGATTGACAATATACCTATTAAATTAAATGCTGCAGCTATTTTAAGAGAGGGTGCCCTCTATCAGCGGAAAATGGAACAAGAGCTCAAGAGGTATAATCACGCTTCTTTCTCAGATTACTTTTCACATCCCTGGATATAGAATAATTAACAACATTAAAAATAATTAACTAAATTCCAGATAGATTAAAATAATGGATCTGTTGTAAGGCTATTCTATAAATACAGGTTGACCAATAAAGAGAAAAGTGGACTGAAATGAAAGTCTACATTAAAGTCATTGTTTTACTGTAGATGCTACACAGTGTGACTGTGTTCTGATTTAGCACTCCAGCTAGCGTCCACCTGCAAAGTCCAATAAGGATCACTTGTTATATTTATTCTGATTCTCCAGAATAAATAATGACCCAAATACACATTATTTCTGTGTCTGATGCGTATATATTAAGCCAAATCATTTCATATACCTCCATTTTCTTCAATGGTTTGTGGTCAACTATATGCCAAATTTGATACTTGAACTTGTATATGTATATAAAAACACCTGTCCATTTCTATCACAGTGAGATATGGGGGACTAAGAGTGTGCAGCTCCACAAGGCAAGACGAGCCAGGAGCTGAGGGTGACAGCAAGGCATGTAGGGACAATGTCCATACTGACAGCAGCTCAGTTCCATAGTACCCTGACAAGGCAGCGGAGCGGATCCAGTGACAGACAGCAGGGTCAGCCAGTGGTCCAGTGATTGCTAGATGAGTCCGTAGTGACGAGTCAGGGCTGGGGTCATCCAGGAAGCCAACTCAACAAGGCAGGGTCAACAAGGTACTAGGCTGGGTGCAGGCATGCCTACAGCGTAGCTTAGGCAAGGACAAAGGCTGTTAACATCAGCTTAAATGTGGCTCCCAGGAAGAAACTCTACACACACAACAGGACTTTTCATATCTTTTCCTCACACAGCTCTTTTCACTGCAGTCTGATCCAATGTTATATGGTTGCACTGCAACAGAGCTGTCTTTGAATACAAGCAACTAAATCCTAGCAGGGGTGGGGAATAAGAGGTTGCAGGTTCTTTTGGTGCACTTAGGGCTCCAAGGAATCCTGATATAAGGATTCCTCTGACATAAGGAATCCTTATTCAGCAGCATAGGTTTTCAGCTGACATTAACTGGGAAGAGGGTGACTCCTGAATGGCCACTGCAGGTTGTATTATATAACTAGAATTACAGAACATTTTCACTAATAATTTTAACAAAGATAAAACCTGTATCATGTCACCTTGATTTAGCATTATTTCTAATCCACCTGACTTAGTAGGCTAAGGACTAGATATTGTTAGCATTTTAAGTCCTGGAATGACTGCCTACGGATGGATTTGATCTTTGGACCTAGCAAATTTTGGTACATGGATCAGGATTTTAGCAGTAAGATATTATGCATTACTCAGGTTCTGTTATCAGCTATGTATGTACATTGAGGTTCTTTTCTATTACATATGATATTGTTCGCTCTATCTGGCAGAATTTTGTTCCACTCAGCAAAGGAATAGATTTTCCCCGTAACTTAACACTATTTTATATTAATGAGTTTCAATCTTCAGCTGCATTTAACACACAACAGATACATATATATAGTCATTGGGGAGCAGCAGTAGGGCACAATTCACAGCATTTTGTGTCTCTGCCCTAATTCTTGGCTCATTCAATCCTCTGCTGCAGGACTTTGAGGGGCCTGCCCCAGGGCTTTGCTATGCTTTTCTCTCTTAGCCAAGCACAAAAATAAGAATGTGGTTTTGCTTAATAGCTGAATACTGCTTTGCCTCATTGCAGCAATATTATTTAATTGACAAAATACAAAACAGAAATAGAATTAAGCAGAAAAGTTTTTAGTTCTCTGTGGCCAAGAACATTGCCAAAGAGAAAAGTTATTTGTTCTTTCTACCTCTAAGCAAAGTAATCCTCTGAGAAAATGTACATACCTTCAGCCTGATTCTCCTTGCTCCTTATGAGAATCCGTATGTAGCTAAAGTTTGCCCTCTCTTGGGGCTTTGTTTTACTGAAAACTTTGGAGTCCATGCTCTCATGCACTTTCTTCCAGCCTGGCTTTCCCAGGCTTTCCACATAGTAGGAACACCTCTTAGACTGGAATTAAAATATATGTCAAATGACTTTGCAATGACCGCCTTTTTTCTCTGCAGAGATCAAACATCTTATATCATAACAAACTACTAGAAATGTTTTCTGAATCAAGGCAGAGCTGCAGAGCCAGATTCCTAGAATTGTATACTCTTTCTTCTCTCTTGCAGAATTGAAAATTTGCTACGAGGGGCTGGAGACCCATCTGAATTCTTGGAATGGCAAAAACAGATGCGTGGAAAAGATTTGGAAGAGCAGCTGGCTGAAATAGAATGTAGGAGGCTTCAAGGGAAACTGAGTCATGAAGAGGCAGTTCTAGCCCATCAGAATGTAATTCAAGAAAATAAGAAGAAAGCTGATCTAATGAGAGAAGAGGTAATACATAGAGCGTTGCTCAAATTTTGCTTACATTCTATCGGTGCAAAACATACCACAGATGATTTCTATCATAAGAAGGTGTAAAAGTCTATACAGTGTCTTTACTCACTGGAGTCTGCAAACAATGGAAAGATAGTGCTATAACTTCCAGACACAGCAATGCTTATACATTAAAGTACTTTTTACAAGTGTTTGATCTGATTGATAACACTTACGAAGTAACTTGATTAAAACAGAAGGTTAAGGCATTCTCCTCTATATTCATGTCATTGTGGATATCCTTTTTGAACAGATACTGAGATACTAAGCACCATTTGCAATGAAATCACCAATATATGACTAATTTCATTATCTTGTTAAAATGAGAGCCACAAATAGGAAAGAATTTGTTTTCTTAAACTGATATAATTCAATGTACTTCATATTGTATCACAGGCCTAGATCTCTCTTAGAAGAAAATTCAGGCAGAGAACCCTCTTTGGATCTACCTATTTATATGGAAAACTAAATATTTATGCCAAGAAGTATTTTCACACAGTTTCTGATCTGGCAAATCACAGTTTCCCAAAAACATTGCTAGATCTTCTGATTTTTTCCCAAACTCACATTACATTTTTCCAGTGCTTTTCCTATAAACTAAACAAGTGATCAAGAAATAACTAATACTATAGATTTTAAATTTTTCATAGTCACTATCATAGGCTTTTCTTTTCTATGAGCCCAGTTTGCTGCTATTGCCCTGTAGGCCAGCCAGTACTTTTCTCTTGGCCACCTCTCACAGATGTCTCTGCAGTGTCTCAGCAACTTAAGATACAACCAGAAATGTACAAGATTTCCATAAAGGCCATGCTGCAAAAGGGAAACTTGCTTAATGAGTTCCTTCTCTGTCCTTTGAAAAAATCTTTCAACCTTTTTTGGCATTGAGTCTTCATGTCTGTTTAGACAGGCTGTAGCAAGAACTTAAAGTGAACCCTACTATGTACAACTGAGCATAGTGTGATCTCTCACACTCGCTCCAAAATTATTGTAATTATTATATTCACCTCAATTTCAGAGCATGAGTGTTTTATTTGTTAACAGAAATGTCCCAATATGTATAGATTTGGGGATGTGCAAATCAGACTTGCTCTAACCTGACCAATTCCAGGCAGCTCCCTTCACTTGCCAACAGGTGCCAGCAGGGCACTTCATCCATATGGAGATCTCCAGAAGTACTGAGCATCAATTTTCCATTCACCAACAGCTTTCATGCTGGCCCCCCTCCTTCTTTTAAAACTCTAGTCTTCCGTCTAAAACAGACAGTACAGTAAGGAATCTAGTCTGGGAAAATCCAGTTTCCTGCTTCCTGTTCATTTCCTCTGACAAAGAAAGGAACATGATAGCCCAAAGTGGACTTTCTGTATATTACAGAGATATGACTTAGGCCTGCCCCTGCAGGCACACAACCAGCTCTGTATTAGATTGGCACTCTTCTTGGTATCTCACAACCAGATCCAGAGATGGCTTTTTTGCCTGCTTTTAGAAACACATGGGAGGAATGCTGGAAAATGGCAGTGCAAATGTTATGGAGGGCTGTTGTGGGTAGATAAACTACTTTATTTTAAGAGGGGAGCTTAAATCTGGGTCTCTATGTTGTCCCCAGCCAATGTCCTTTGTGGATGATGTAATACTTTGAATCCATTTGTCCTTGCACTATTTCAATGATTTGAGGCACTCAGATCACCAGTTATCAGGAATTTTATTCACCTCTTTGTTTGGGATTTAGAAAGCAGAGCTGATGCACCAGTATGCAGAGAAACGTCTACAGGAACAGAAAGAAATGAGAGAGCTGGTGGAGCAGGTCGTGGAAGGACACAAGAATGCAAAGCAAGCGAAAATAAAGCTCCAGAAATACAAACAGCAGATAGGTATTTATATATTCCCAGAAAAATGAGAGATGATGCAAATGTCCCCGAATTACTTTATCTTTATTTCAGTGGGCCAATTACAATTTTTACAGAAAGGAAAGGGAAGTTGAGGGGAAGATCCAGGCTATACATTCCCATGAATGCATTAATAGGCATTCCAGGAATAAGTTGGTAATGGGTAGGTCAGAAATTCTAAGCTACTAGTCATGGGAATTACTCTTTGTTTAAAAGGGAGAAATACAGCACTAATGTTCTGCAACTAGTTTCCCTTCCATCTAAAAGTAGCATATGTGAATTACTGTACTTTTTGTCAAATCCACTTATGAAGCTCAGATTCTTGTGATTCATATCATTAAGAGAGGATTTGCCTAGCAACCACTGTGAAAAAATCATGGCTCAAGATTATTGTCTTCTCCAGAGAAGACAGTCCAGAGAAGAAAACTGTAGCTAAGGAAAGAAAAGCCATCTCCTAGAAGGCCAGTATCGCAAGGGAGAAGGATGTAACACCTCCAAGACAGACCAGTCATTAGGATGAAGGGAAATAATATTACTCATCCTCCATTATTCTTAAAGAAAATTCTTCAGCTAATGCATTAGCTAATGAACTCCAGGGAGAAGGCTGTTCTGACTGGCATGGCTGTACATATTCCAGTGCAACGCCATGTTAACATCTACTGTATGAACAGGCTACCTCTAGTTGTGCGTATTTTGCTTGTGTATCTCCATACTTGTATCAGTAAGGGTTGAGGCGGGCAGAGGGTGTTAGCCACTCTGAAATGGCCTAGCAAAGCCTACCAGCCTTTGCAATTCAGTGATTTCTATCATATATATAGCTTGAAAAACTATGAATATTTGCTATTGTATATCCTTTTATTAAATAATGAAACAATATGCACTAATTAGAACAGAAATTACAAAGCAGTAATTCAAAGTGTCTACTTTATGTATGTATACAGTATGTTTATGTGTTGAATAGAATGCTAGATAGTGGAGGTGGGAAGTTTCTCTAATCATTCCTCCCACCAATGCCAGACTATTCCTCAGGTACCTTTAGATCAGTATTATTGTCATTATTCACAAATGCATACGAATTTTCCTCCAGATGGACTACTTGTTAAAATATGCAACCAACTAACAGAGATTAGTTCTTTTCTTTCAGTTCAGGAAGTTTGTGAAGAAAATCGAGAACTTCTTCGGCAAGCTTTAGAAGAAGAGGAGGAAAAGCTTAGGAAAAGATATGAACTAATTCAACAAATACGAGCTATTGAGTCTTTACCAAGCATTAGACACAAGTTAGTTGATTTAACTGAGGTAAGCTCAAAAGGAAAAACCACTGTTTTTACATAAATGTATATTGTATATGTTTCACACATTTAGAGGAATTGCGCACTGCATGCAGATATATCGCAGTCTGGATGCACAGCATTAAGTACAAAGTGACCCCATGACACAAAGGTTAGATCTGAACTGGAACTTTCAAAAAGTTCATAAAATGAAAATTTTACCAGGAAGAATATTCTGATGGTAAGTGAAATCTTAATCCCCTTGAACTTTCTTTGAATTTTCCCAATAGGATCTGGGTTTCCCGATATCTTTCAAAAAGAGACTGACAAGTGATTACATCTTCTATCCATCTTCACAAATTCACAGATTTATCAGTCCTGGGTAAGGACTAAAGGAACACAAACTTTGGACTGATGTACAGTTGTTCATATTGCAGTGGTGATTGCCATGGTAATTAGCAAAATTAATTTCCTGTGCGTTCAAAACTGTCAACATTCAGGTATATGAAAGAGATTGTCAAGACAACCCAAAACCTGCTGAGCTGTTATGCATGTACTGTGCAAATGACTTGTGCGTGTGTCGTTAAGTCTACAGTAAATGTATCCCAAACATCTTGGATTTACTATTGATGCACAACAATTGATATGTCTAAGACTGGGCTTTGCAATGCCCGCTTTTGCAGAATTTCCAGACTTAGGCAGCATCCGGAAATCTGTTATCTTACCAGTGAATCAGAAGCAGAGTAGCTGAAAATACTCTTCCATTTTTCTTATCCATACTGAAAGAAGAATAACATAGAATAATATAAAATGACACTAACAATTTTAAATATAATCCTTTTGGTTTTTTCTTTCCTTTCTTTCATGAGTATTCCAATGAAGATCACAAATTAAAAAACATCCATGGCTAGTCTGCAGAAACCATACAGAAGTAACAGGTCTTCTTTCCATGGGTCTTTTGGAACAGTCAATATGATGCTTTGGTTTCAACTCCTGCTCCTCATTGATTCCAAAGCTACCTACTATCTTTGCAGCCACCAGATAAATCTGCCATTTCATTTATCAGATTTTAGAATACATTTAATGTTAAAGTGTGAAATAAGTGAACAAGAATAAAATCAGGTCCCCTTTACTCTCTTTGGTTGCCTTTATGGCTGTTGCCATCACTTCTCAACTTCTTTTCCAGTCAAAGAAGGCAATTCTCTTTTTTCAAACCCAGACTCACTCCACCCATTTGTGGAGAAATATTACTGAATCACAATGGAAAAAGCAGGGGAAAAAAGTGAAGAGTACAAAGAATTATTGTACACCACAGATACTATAAACTGTCTGCATGGAAATGCCAAGAGGTACTCCAATCTATAGGTCTTCTACCGCTTCAGATAGAGTTGCATATGGTGCTAAACAGAGCCCTTAGCATGGTCTCACTGCACATTTGTTACCCAGATGATTCAGTCACAAGATGTAGGCTGCAAAGACACAATGGTATAATGTAGTTGGATGTGGAAATGTCATTACTTTTTCAATCACAACAACTTCTGTAAAATGGTGCAGGCTCTCATGCAGGAAAATGGAGGTGACTGGAATGTCAGTATTTTCTTATTTTTGAACCTAGTTCATTTCATTGCCACTTACAGTGGCTGTCGACCCCTCACATAGCGCTTCCACTGAAATACTGTTTGTTTCTAAGTACAGGATATGGCTTTAAATACAAATTCAATAATAATCCCTCTAAAGCACCAGTGTTGTAGCAGCAGAGAGCCAAGCCTGGTTATTTGTTGTACTCTATTTTGTGGTTTTATTGCCCCTGCCGCCCCCGTCCCCCCACCTTACTGTTTTCTTCATCTTTCTTGGCTTTCCCCCTATTTCATGGGCCCACTGCTCTGAACAGTCAGAGAACGGTCACTGGAGGACGAGTACCTGACTAGACTGCTTAGATGGCATCCCAGACTAGACAAGAGGGACTGGACCCAGGTCAATTCTTGCAGCCAAACTGACAATCTGAGCATCTATCTATGACAGAGCATCCTTCTCTTTTCCTGTTGTTTTTTTTTTCCTTCCCCTTCATGTTCTGTTTTGTGAAAAGCTCAAAAGCAGAAAGGCAACTACTATTCTGTCAACAACTCGCTTAGTATTCAATACAAGGGCGTTTTTTCCCTGCTAAAAAGGATTGCTTGAAAAAATGAAGGCTCTTTAACTGAATAATTTCTCTCCATTAAAAGGATTTTAATGAGTTTTACTTACATATGTTTATCATTACCACTTAATTTCAGTCTGAGAAATACAATTTGGAGGAATGGTTGTTCTTTTGGATTCCACACCCCCTCCCTAGTCACTAATCCTATGGAACTAAGTAGAGCAAGGTCTTTGTGATTAAAATCCTAACCAGTGTTTCACGCTCCATGTTATACAACTGTATAGCAAGAGTCAGATTAGCATCTTGATTTCCTGCACCCATATATTCCATTATAACATGCCATGGTACAAGATACACACCGAAGATGTGTACCAAAACTGTATTAAGATAGACAGAAGAATATTAATTGGTGTGAAATTGATTAAATTTTGCAAAGAAAGCTACACAGAAGCTCAGTATTTGTGTGGGTTTATGCAAGTTTTCCATATATGCAGATGTATATATGTGTGGACATAGGAAAAGGAAGAGTGTATGTAAGAGCAAGGGCCGAAAACTTCAAGTGTGCACAAATCTGTTTAGAAATGATCTTTGTATGCAAACTAAGGTGCAGAAATCTCTCATTACATCTCAGAATCAGGCTCATTATCACTCTCATTGCGAAGTGGATTTTAAAAAGCCTTCATTAAACATTCAGGTTTGAATATTTTAACTTTGGGCATTAAGATCTGAATTTCCTGCATGCAAAGCATAGTCTTTTCAGATAAAAATAGTAGATGCCATCATAGATCAAATCCATAATTCAGAAATAGATAATTACAAAAAAAATGCATATTTTTTACTGTAAAGTCTGTTCTGGTTTTACAAACTGAAAAATATGCAGTTTTACACATTTAAAAACTGCAAAAGTCTTATTAAAACTAAAAGATAAGTCAACTAGAATTTTTTTGGACAGCAAATATGTTGTATTTATGATTAATCTACTGTATATTTCAATGCTTTTTCATGAAATGTTTTATGAGCCTTGTGTTTTTACACATACGAAAGGTAAGCTCTACACCTTAAAAACAGCTTGTAAATAACAGTTAGATTAGGGCCAACCCTATCTTTCCTGAAGTCAAAATATATTCAGCATGATTTGGAACACAATCAAAATATTCTGGTTTTACTCATTTACTCTCCCCTTGGTGTTTACAGTGTTATTTAAACCTATATTTCACGTTCTTTAGACTGGTGGCCATGGTTTAATTTGTGAAATGTCAATAGTGGAACTACGTGAACGCCTCGCTCTACTCAGAGAAGCACAGAAGGCAGCAGAGGAAGAGAAGAGAGACCAGATAATTCATGAAAAACAAGCTAAGGAACAACTTCTTCTAGACAAACTGGACCAGATTTCCCTGTTCAGAGCAGAACTTGGACGAGCAGCTGCTTTAAAGTCAGTATAAAACAGCATGTGACATTTAAGACATTGCAACTTTGTTAATATTTTGCTAGCCCCTTGAGGAGAAAAACAAGTAGTGAGCAAAATACTGCCCTTTTATAAATAAGTATGACTTTTGTCAAGGGTTACACTGGGGCCAGAATTTCCTTTAATTGAAAATAATTTGCATCACATTTGTTAAATCTTTTTCATAATTTTGAATTTGTGGTTGAAGACACTGCGTAGGCTAGTGTTGACAGTATTGCCCCAGGATTCAGAGCCAGTATTATATATTGAGAAAGAAATTCTGCCTTTCTTCTGTTCTTTTTCAGCTAATCAGAACTAATTTGATTTTATAAGAATCATTCTAGCTTGCTACTTAAAGTGGCTTCTCATTTTCATCTAAACCAATACATTAGGGCTATAGTTTGCTTCCTTGAACTTCATTTGTTATGTGAAAAGGCAGGCCTTATTTTAGAAGTTAAAAATATTTTAGGAAGGAGATTTTCTGATAACAATAATAAGTTATAAATTAAATATATTACAGCAGTAGATCAAAGAGAAAAATCTTTGCTTACAGGCTCTCTGATCAAATTTTGTTATTATTCATTATCATATTTACTATTCATTGTCATAAAAGATCCAAAACCATCATAGATGCTTCACGTATGCAGCAGACAGGTCCCTTCCACAAGGAGTTTAAAATCTAAGTTAAAGCTATTTACAAATAAAGCTGAGCAGGAAGAAAGCCTGTGAAAAAGTGTAAAATATGGCACACCGCTTCATCTTATGCCAGTTTTACTGCATCTTGACTATTTGCCATTGTTTTCTTGAAAGTTCTCTTTCACCTTTTTCCTTTTTGTGAGTTTGAGAGGTTAGTCCTTGTCTTGCCATATTTATTTTGCAAACAGATGTTCAGGCTGACATTCTGAAGACATATTCTATCAGGCTAAAAACACATGTCTTTAGAGATATCTTAGATGTGTGTTTATTGCTGAGATACCGAAGGTGGCTTCTTAGAGTTAAATTCATGTTATTGATTTATCATCCAGTTCTAAATCTCAATTACAGAAGGTAGTATTGATGTATTCATTTAACTAGTTTTCAGTAGTCCCAGCTCTAATTTGGTTTGTGGATGATAGTTAATCTCCGAAGACTGGGGGTTTACTATGTTAGTACTTAAGAAGATAGCTTAATGAATTTAATGAATCAATAACTGCAGCTCCAGTGGACTGACTGCATAGATCAGTGACCCTCTCTTCTATGGCATATTATCAAGAAAAGACTTTAAGACTAAAGAGCCTGAAATGGAGTTGGAGCTGGAAATACACTTTCATCGCTAAACATTCACTGTTGTGAAAGCCTGTGGGAGCAACTCAAACCACCGCTTTCCACTAGAGATGCAAACTAGGCATTTAGAACTTGTACACTACATAAAACCTGTTTCACTAGTAACTACTTAAAGAATCATTTGTTATGCTAGATGTGCAGTCTGTGAATTTTGTATAGTGCTGTGTTTCTTTAAAATAGACTCTTTGGCTTAATTCAGATCTAAAACTGTTCTGATCCTGCAATAAGCTATGCTTGACTGAGAAGCTAATGTTGATTCACTTTTTGTCCTGACATTTGAAATGTTTTTTAAAACAGACCAACATGCCAAAGATGGTAGAATCCAACTGAAATTAAACACTTAATTTGCAAGCTTCTAGTCAGACTCATGATAAGTAATACAGTAATTTTAATGGAGCCCTGTTTGCTCTCCAAATAAAGAAAATACAAAGTTTCATTATAGATGTTGTAAGACATTTCCTTTCATGGCTCCCAGGCAATCTACGTATGTAACTTAAGAGCATCTACTATAAAGAGGCATCATCAAATGCCATCAAACAACATACCAGAAATGTTGTTCTTTGGGAGTATATTTAATGCATTTTCATCTAGAATGCAAATCTATGGTGTTATTTCTGTTAATATAGAAGTACAGCATGCTGCCCTATTTACAAATGCTAGACACTTTGCTGCAGCTTTTATGTCTCTCTAAACAAACTATAGGCTTTGTGTGTTAAACCTGATTTACAGATCTTGAATCCTGAAATATCTATCAAGTCAATGTGAGTGATTAATTGCTTGGGTTGTATTATTGATACGCTGCACAGGAGGTGTAAAAAGCAAATTTTTATGTTTAGAGAATTAATTCATAATTATAGGGATAGAATAGCAAATCTTACCAATAGTATTCGTAAGATAGCCTTATGCATCAATATAAAATTATATGTTGGATCTTAAATTGCATTATGTCAAACGCTACTGCTAATCAGCTGAAGTATGGCGGCTAAGCTTTGCTAAACAAATGTGCTTTAGTTAGTGTCAGCTGGAGTTTAATTGGGTCCCTACCGAGCAGGTTCCTTTCAATATCATTTACAAACTGACATACATCAACACAAAAGAAGCACATTGAGCAAGCATATAATGAGCTATATTAAACAAAATAGGAATCGGAACATAAAAAATTACAGAGACATCAGCCTTTAATAGACTGCAAGCCATGACATCCATCACAGCAGTGGCTTTGTGAGTGCTTGCAGAACACTTAAGAATCAATTCAGTATATAAGCAGGACGTCCCTTTAATTGCTAGAATTTCAAACAGTTTGAAAATCAGCACTGGCATATGAAGTGGACAAACATTTGAGTTCTCAGCTTTCGAATATGAGCACCAAAAGATTTACGAGTGTTTGAATACATGCTAATGTACTAAAGCTATGTGCCTATATACTTCAGGTACAATTCCTTTTCATTCCAGTGAGACTACATCTATTACTCCAAGTAATTTAATGCACTAAGAATCAAGCAAGAGATCAAGCCATTTGGTGCTGAGGCTCCCTCCATCCACATTATCTGTGGTGGGGGGGGGTTTACTTTGGGTTGGATTTAGTCTGGTCTTGGGACTGCATGTTCTCACCATTCATGTGGTTTAAAGCTGTCCAGGTCCAGAGGAAAGTTATCTCACAAAACTTCACATACTCAATTCCTCACTCCTTTGCAAGCCCGTCTAGTGAACACCACACTATCCTTTTCTCTGTCTCACATAGATGGCAGTAGCACATCCATGTCCCCACCAGCCACTGCCACATATGTATGGTACAGAGAAGCCAGCCTTATTTCTTGCTCATGTTCCTGCCTTGTTTGTTTTCCTGCTCATTTTCAAGTGACATGACGGTGCCTGCTGCCTGAGCCTCCTCCCCTCTCCAAGTCAGGGCCACATCCAGATGAAGGTAGCAGCTGCTGTTCCAAGGTGACACTCTGAACTGATACTAATCCTCCTTGAATTCCTTGCCAAGGTGGCAAAGCACTCCTTTCTCTTCCTGCCCCTGCCGGTGCTCAAACCCCTCCTTGACAAGGGGCACTGACCACACACCAGTGTAACACCTCTCTCTTGGCCTGAAATGGGGATGGGTGGAAATAGTGTGAGGGCAGCCATGGCAGGAGGACAAGGGGGAACACTGCTTATGAGGAGGGACAGGAGAACAAGCAGAAGAGAGGGTTATGGATGGATGACTGTGACTGTCCTTTCCAGGTAGAACAAGCTCCCTAAAGCAGGTGTTCGCTGGAATGTCCAGGTCTGACTTAGGGGGTCAAATGCCTTCTGGGTGAGGAGGGGAGAATGGAGCCCCATCCTCAAAAACCTGTAAGACACCCTGGCAGCACAACCCTGTGATGGAGCACACAACTGAGGGAAGGGGCAGACAGCACAGGGAAGTAGAAAGAGGTAACAGGGGAACATGTGCCATGCTATCCCTATTTGTGGCTATTGCTTCAGGTCTTCAAAAACATGGCCTAGAATAATGAAAAAAGCTGAATAATTAGCAATATAAGGGGCTTTGGTTTGGTACTTCATAATATTTGTGATTTCATTAATTTCACAAATTTCATAAATACTTGAACTTCAGAGTTCTGTATGTGTTTGCAGTAAGGAAGTAAGATTTAGTTTCTCAGTCCCTACTGCTGGCAATGAGCTCTTCACTAGCATTGAAACAGAAGGAGGAAATTTAACAGCAATGATGGATCAGAAATTTAAATATGTGAAGACGTATTATAGACATATAAAGAAGACACATTAAAGACACATCAAGAAGACACAGCCAGGCTCTTCTCAGTGGTGACCAATGAGAGGACAAGAGGTACAAGAGGAAACACAGGAGGTTCCCTCTGAAAAGGAAATACTTTTTTACAGTGACAGTGACCGAGCACTGGCACAGGTTGCCCAGGGAGGCTGTGGAGTCTCCATCCTTGGAGGTATTCAAAAGCTGTCTGGACACGGTCCTGAGCAACTGGCTCTAGGTGGCTCTGCTTGAGCAGGGCAGGGTGGACAAGATGACGTCCAGAGGTCCCTTCCAACCTCAACCATACTGTGATTCTGTGAATGAACTTTGATTATACAGCTTCATAATCTTTATTTCAAATGAGGAAAACACTGTTATGGATAACAATTACTTCTACACCTAAAATTAGGTGCTTAGTAAGTTAATTATTTTGGAAGGTAGTCAGATTTTGAGTGCCTAAATCCCTCACATTAGTACAAAATAGTAATGAATCTAATAGTGTAGTGTTCTTAAATGTCAAAATAATGACTCCCTTAACAGTGAACTCTTAACAGTTAGATACATTCATTTTCCTCACTGCAATAACTAAGAATTACATAGTGCAGGACAGAAAAAAGGCAAGGTACTGTGAAATACAGAGAGCCCTAGTCACTGAGACTGAGAGTATGAGGAAATTTTAAAAAATTGTTATTAATTGCACTATAAGGCAATCCTACTTCTGCTTTTAAAAATACATTTGTGTTTATTGCACAAGACTCCATTTTGTAAGGTCAGCTTATAAATACAGTCCTAGCTGTTGGTACTTTGGTGCCTAGAATGGTCAAGTAGCCATTTTTACTCCATCTCCTACAAATATTGAATCAGTTGAGTGCTGTCATACATCTATCTCCTTATACTTTTGATGCACAGGTAGAGTTTGAAAATGTAAATGAAGAGCAAAATGTGGTTTTCAGGAGGGGTCCTCTGTGCAAATCTTCAGATTCCCCATTTTTTAAACACAGCTGAGAAGACCTTCACTTCCTACAGGAAAACCTTCAATGCTGAATTGCTGCTTCTTCAGTTGTATGCCAGATGACCTACTGGACCTAGAGTCCATTTGGCCAGATGCTAAAATTGCAGGGCAGATAGTTAAATAACTACAAGGGATATGTAAATAAGAAGATGCTGGACTGCCAAACTCCATGACAAGTTTGTAAAATGTGAAGTAAAAAAATACTTACATATTTTTAAAATTCATTATATTCACTAAGGCAATCATTGAGACAACAAATATGGGATGTCAACTGCAGTTTACGATGCCTGGAGTATTATTTTAAGTAGAAAGACACTTACATTTTACCCATCACTGATGGAATTGTTCTGTACTTCATATAGTGAGCCAAAATCTTTCTGCTGTTGACTGTACACATGGCTTACACAGAAAGTGAATAGCGAACGAAATCAGTGGTAGATAAAGAAATTTTCACTGTTTTCTTTTATATCCATATTCTGTTGAATCTTTCATTAATCCCTTACTTTTCCTCCTTTGAGTAGTTTTTACGTGCATCCCACACTACTACAAACTTCCATAAGCACATCCAAGAATCTCATCTCATTCCTTAAAACTAAAATGTACTTTCTGACAAGGTCACTAAGCAAAAACTAGAGTTTGTTAAACCGTTTCAAATACATACGGACTTAAAAAATATTACAAATTTTTTCAAATTCTTTGATAGGGAAATATTTTTTTAATTATGGCAGAGTCACAAAGGGACGGAAGACTCTTGTCTGAGACCAAAAGAAAAGAAGATTAACAAATTCTCTTTCGGACCGAAGACTTGACATTATATTTTAGGAACCAGTATGATTCTTAAAGATTGGTTTTCATTGAAGGTGCTCATTCAATACCAGTAATTGGTAAATAAAATTAAAAGTAATATTAAAATGGTTTCTGCATTTTTTTTTTCATAAATTATCACATAATTTTCTATTGAATCTGGAGAGGATTATTCTAACTATGTACTACCCCATTCTGACTGGCTGTTACTTTACTTCCTTAAGAAATACGTGATATGGGGTGACAGAAATCATATGAGCTTTCTCTGTCTTGAGTCCTGAAAGTTCTCAACTGACCATCACAGAAAAACAGAATTTTAAAGTTTCTTTTTTCATTCCTTTCCTTCTTTGAGTTTCTGTTTTGATGTGGTGTGGCATCTGAAAATCTATGGGATTGGCAGCTTTTTGGAATAGTGTAGATGACTGGCACATGACTTCATGTAGAAGAGGACTGAATATTAAGTGTCTGAGGATAAGCAACAATTTACAATGTTAATTCAGAAGCAGCTGCTGCTGCTTCATGATGTTAAACCTCTGTATTTCCTGTAATTGTATTTACAAGACTCTGGATTTGCATGTAATGAAAAGTTTTGTTGCTTATTCCCACTGACAATATTTAATCATCAATAAAACCTTATTGTTATGTTCTCCTATATCCCTTGGAATGCAATGCCTTGTTACAATGCAAATAGGCATAATCCATGTTCTCAATTAGATTAAATGATAGTACATAATTTTTAGATTTACAGAATAGTGTTAAAAATTAATCTCAGTGTAGCAGAGTATGTCACAGTATTAAAGAGGATAAGGAAGTGTTATCCTAACCAGATAGCATGACACAAACAGCAGAGAGGTTCAGGAAGTGTCTCAGGAAAGCAATTGGAAATGAGAAGCCAAGCTAAACTGTCCCCCTTATTTAGAGCTCACAGTCACATTTCAGAATGTAACACAGATCAAATCTCCCCTTCATCCAGCTCCTGAGGATTTTGGGAACTGTAGTCCAGAATGGCTGCTCTGAAGAATACCTGCTACTACTGGGAGTTTTCTATCAGCAAAGATGAAGCTAACAAGGCAGACAAAAGCCATCTCTCCCAAGATGAAAGAAGTGTTTGGATCCCTGGAATCTTGATACAGACACTTTTTAAGGCAAATGGGTGGATTTAGCATCAGAAGGAACCTCTTTCTTCTTCCCCTTCCTCCAGCTCCTTTAGAAGAGTGTGCCTTATACTGAAAACACTGTGGTATAATACCCAAGAGATAAGGGAAGAGTTCTGTTGTAGAACATTTCCAAGGGGCAACCTGCCTGTGAAATTAGTCCTGCCACTGACAGAGTAACAGTTACAGGATCGGCTGAACGATGCCCCAGTGCACTCTGCTCTTGGTCATTTGGAGCCTTAATCTGGTTTCCAATAAAAGCAATTGTAATGCTGTACTACCGCAATATAAAAGGACCTTTTACAAAACTATACTTGCCAGCTGAGAGAAGGCATCAGATCTAACCTGGTTATATATTATATAATTATATATATTCTTTGGTAGATCTGACACTTACTTTAGCTCTGAATTTGGCCAGAGACTCACAGCTGCTCATGACATAATATTAATACTACAGCTTGATCATACTGAGCCAAATTGAAGGGCAATATTGAATAAAAGAGAAAGTTGGATGGTGTAACCTACATAAAGAAGTTGTAAGTAAATTGTGCCAGTTGGGTGAAAGCAAGCAAAACCAGATAAAATGTAAAATCCGGAGGACAGAAAAGTAGCTACAATAGAAGGAAAAAAAGGGAAGACTTCTGATAACCTCTCTCTTATGCCTTACTTTTATGCTGCACATGGTGCTATCAATTTATGCTCACCCAGACCCACTAACCTTAATTAACACATCACCATCCCATAGATTCTGAATCTGAACATTGAGATTACACAGAAAAGAATATCTTTCATTTGCCAAGGAATACAGCAATCGAGATGAATGCTAATGATCGTATAAGGAAAACTCCATAGTTCTCACAACCAAAAGCAGCAGTATTATCACAGGTTTTACACATGTTTTTTCTAAATAATGTCATGTCAGGCTTGAACTACTTCAGATATTGTCATCATGGCGTCCTGTGGGAAGAAATTATTCTATACTGTTTAGTAATGCTGTTCTGTAAACAGCAAGAAGCAAGTTGTGAATACCACATTCATCGAGCTATATGATTTAAACCTGTTTTGAGTCTAGCTGGTTCCCAGAAGCAAGAGAAAATTCATTATTATCAAGATAATATATGCTCAGGTGGATTTATTCTGTGGGTTGATATTATTTTACCTTCTCATTGCTTCTTTTTGATTTTGCAGGCAAGAAGAAAAGAAAAGAAAGTTCCAGTCTGGTGAAAGGTCTATGAAAGATGAACGCATTTTAAACCTGCAGAAAAAGATTGTAGAAAAAACAACGGAGCGTAAAAAGCAAGCAGGACTCTTAAAGATTACCCCCCAAAAAACCAGCATCGCATCAAGGAAGGTCTGGGAGTTACATAAGGAGAAAAGCTCTGCAACAGACCTGCTGTTCGCAGACCTTTGCTCAACTGCCAGCACTGGCGGGGGGCAGAGGCAGATGGTGCCATACATGACTGGCAATAACTCCCTGCTTCCTGCACAGGCATGATTTCTCCAAGCCATGGCCTTGACCTCACCTTCTTGTCACACATTCTGCTACCGCAGAGCAGGGCTCATCCATACGACACACTTCCCACTTTTATTACCACGCACTCTCATCCCATCGAAACAGCATCTTACGCCCTGTCTCCCTAACTCTTGAATTTCTCAGCTTCCTATCACACACATCCCATTACACCAAACCGAGATGCTCACCCCCTTGCTCACCCAAGGCATGTTCCAATTTATCATTCCCACAGTTTTTACCTCGCCTTTCCTCAGCCCGTTCCCACAACATCGGATGGAAGCACCAATAGCCCTGTAGGTGTTATGCCAGTTCACACTGGTTGTGTTTCCTCGGCAAGTGTCTAAAGACAAGTGGTGAGGAACAGCTGCTCCTGCTGCTGCTGCCACCTCTGCCATTGCCTCATGCATGCCTAACGTTTAGAAGTGGTTCATATACCAGTAACAGTACACGTACCACAGCATACGGAATACTGCAGTGAACAGTCATGATGGGATCACTTCATAAAAGCTGTACTAGCCCAATGTAAATTAGAAATAAATTTCCCAATCTGTTAAAATAATAATTCTTTACCTATTTTGTGAGAAAGTTAGATAAAGCTGAATTCAATGAAGAGGAAAATTGTATTTTTCAAGTGTGTACAGTTTAAAAACCAAAATAGTGCAATCTTTCGAGTATCAATGTTTGCTGCCTTCAGAATCCCCATTTCAGGCAAGCAAAACATGCAGGTGCTTATATAGACAGCTAGGTCTATCCCTTTTAGCAAAGAAAACATTGAAGACCTATTTGAAGAAAGCATTTCCTAAATTGGGATGGCTTTCTGAACTGAGGTTTTGAACACGATTGAACACTTTGCTGAATGGAGTCCAGAGTAAAGTAGAAGCAATAAATGCAGACTTCAATGGAAAGCAGCCATATAATTACAAATGTGAGACATTTTTAAAATAAACAAAGAGAAATTATAAATTCACAGGTAGAACTTTTGACTGTCTGATGTGGGTCTGTATGAGTGCTCCGGTGTCATATGAATGAGCAAAAAAGCCAGGATTTGAAAGTTGTTTTGATGTTAGATTTTGTCTGTTTCTCCAGCTTAGCTTTACACAGTAAGCCTCTGAAGATGTTACAGTGCTTTTATTTATGTTCTGCTCAAACGTTAAGACACCTGTAAAAAAAAAAGAAAAAAACAATGGAAAAAATTCAAGGTTACTGTAAATTATTTAGCTGTTTTGGTGTATCTTCCACCACTGCTGTTCAGCTCTGCATGACCCTATCCAAATGTTACTACAGGGAACTGGCTCAATTCTGGTCAGATACGTTCAGCAGCATCTTTATTATAATTGAACTGCGTATTGCTGAAAATGGTGTTAGTGTGACTATAGGAGAAAATTCCTCCCTTAGTTATAATGCAGTCGGTATCTGGCATTCAGTTTGTACTGCTACCTTTTAGGTTCCTCAATAAATAGGAAAAAAAGTGACACTAACCCCTTGTATTAAAGTTCCAAGTCCAGATTGTGGCTTTGTGATGGCCCTTTAGGCCAAATGGGTTTGTGCTGATGTAAGTCGAGGTAACATTTGTTTATAAATGACTATTACATTCTTAATAAAACAGAATTTATATTGCAATTTGGAAAACTAACCATAAGAAAACTACCATTAATGAAAAAAAATGTATTTTTTTATTATTTTAAGCAAAGAATCAGATAAAAAAAATAGCAGTTTTCTGTTTATTCTGAGCTTTTTTGGGAATGCTTCCTTGTGAACCCAGCTTTTGAATCAGCAGACCAGTAGAGTCTGATAGGATTTGTGCAACTGTTCATTTATGGCTTCAAGAATAAACTGTTGGCAAAGAAAGAACATAAGGCAGCAGCATTGGAGCAAACCACCCAGATGTAGTTTTGTCTTGATTTAACATTTTGTGGAGTGTTGCAGCTGTGTTTAATTCATCTTAAACTGGGCAACCCCCTCAAGTTACCTTTCTATTCATCATGCCCAGTTTGATGTTGACAAGTTTCCCAATCATGTTAGCAAATAAACTGTGTTGCCAGCCAGCCATATTATCAAATAGAAGTTCAGTGTATCCTCTAAAGAGAACCACTATAGTCTCCAAAGCCTGATCATCTGTGTGTCTTTTCTGCAGGATTCTTTGCAATGGAACCATTGGAAAGAACTGGAAGAGAGTCGGGAACGACAGTCCAGGATCCTTCAACATGGCTTCATGGCCAGAGAAACAGCTCAGAAAATGGCTGCCTACGAGGCAGCAAGAAGTGGAGCCACAATCTGTATATTGCGCTCTGAAGTAAAATAAAATACATGTGGAACAAATTCAGGCCTGCTGGAAATCTCCCAGTGTGCCTATTTACTACAAGGTTGAATTTTAATCTTTATTTCACCTTTACAGTGTGATTAGAAAAATTTGGGTCATACAGGCACAATAGAATAAAAATGTGTTAATTTTTTTGTAACAGACTTTTATTTTTAAGCTATGATGATACATTTTTTTCTGTTAGAATTTAAAGCTTTAAGAAACTGAAATCTTACCATTCAAGCTCCTACAGCAGAATGGCAAATATCTGGGTAAAAGTGTTGAGATCTGTATTTCTGTTATCATTGTATACTATGCGATGGTTTGCTATGCTCGCCTTCCAAAAGAATAAAAATGAGGGCAAAAACCAAGCAACATTTGTTTACATATGCATCTTTTCAGAAGGCATGGTCAGCCCAAGTTCCTAACACGTCTTCTTACACGCCAGTAACTGTGTGTAAGAGCATCACAGTTTTAACACTGGTTTTAGAGGATGAGGGGAAAACTGTTGAGAAGGTTTAGATGATGTGATAGCCTCCAGAAGCCAGAGTCTAGATTCAGTGACCCAAACAGACCATCCCTCTATTCGCAGATGTGAATCTCTTCAGTCTTCAAACAGTGGAAGGAGAACATAACATTGCTTGATCTCTTTAGGGAGCTGCTTCCAGAAAAAGTCAAAATTCTGTTACTCACCTAGAAGATAATTTGCCCTCTATGACAATTTCTATACTGTGTAAAACAGCCTCTAAATCACAAGACTTATTCTAGGCACAAAGCCAAGGAGGATATAAATCTGAATTGAAATCTGCAGAGCAGTAAGACTATGTAATGTATTTCTATTTTAACTCGATGCCAGTTACTAAGTGTTTAATTATGGCTATTGCAAATATTTAAATTGAAGGAGACTGTCGCTGACGTTAGAGTCAGGCAGCTGCTTCTAATGCTCTCACAACATTACATTTCTCACTTTTTACTGAAGGAAGCCTAATGGAATTCTTTTGTTGCCACCTAGCTGTGAAGATCACTTCCACAAGCTGATAAAATGTGCTTTATTTTTGATTCAAAGTAAATGCTACGGTAGTCCACGAAAGTAATGTAGGACTCATGCTCACTAGGAAGAGTTAAGGAACATAGGAGGGTGAAAAGAAGGAATGATAGCAGAACTAGAGAAGAGGGAACTATGACACTATGTCTAGTAGGGGATTGTAATAGCTTAAAATGACAAGCCCTTGGTGGCAGGGAGTTTATCTTCCTTTGTAGTTGTTCAGCATTCTGTTGCATTGTATTCCAGAACAACAAAGCCAAGTGGTGACTCTAACACCTCGGTTTTCCAGAAACTAGCAATTAACAGGGCTAACAGTCATGGTCTGGGATATTGCATAGCTGAATAGTTCCTCTTAAACTTTTTGACGTGTCTTGCGTTTTGAGAATTTAAAAAAAAAAAAAAATCGTCATTAAGCAAATAGATAGGCAGGTGTATTTAGGTAGGTAATATGGAAATTTCAAAAACCTATCATACTGCATGCTTCTTCCCCTGTGATGTTGCACCCCGTTTTCAAAATTCTTACTGAATTGCAGTCAAACTGATTCATAACTATTTCCTTCTCCATATTTTCCCTGCTCTCAAATGAAAGGACCGAGAAATAGAGGAATCTCAGTAATCCAGCTGTGGAATTTTTACCTTCAGAAGTCACAAATAGCCCTATTGCTAGTTTAGGATCTGATGCATAAAGTCATCTTCAGAATCAATGTTTTGAGGAACGTAAAAGAATGTGAATCTTTCAGGAAAAATATCAATATATCAATATATTGATATTTTTATATCAATATAGCCTATTGATTTTTCAGTGATGGCAGGTCTTGCAACAGAGTACACAGAATAACATTAAAAATACCATATTCTTCCTGACAAACGTGGATAACTTGATGTTGGAGGCAGCAGATCCTATCCAGAACGACTCTGCCCCTGGCCACTAGAGCACCTTCTCTAGTATTCCTGTTCCAGCAATGTGGTACACAGAAACCTGAAGTGATGCAATGCAGAGCCAGCAAAGGTCTAGTAGGACTTGTTAGCGTTTTATTTAAAAAGCAGCTGTAATGCCATTGGAGCCAGGTGAGCTTTGAAGCAATACAGCTGCATTGACAATGCTGCCTCAACTATTGTCTGTGGCACAGACCATCACAACCTGGTTAATCCATGCACAGATAATTGACAGTCAGCAATGCCTCTTCTCTCATTGGGCTCCACGGAAACACCGGTGCATGAATAATTCATGATTCATTCATTTACACGTTTGTTACATTATTTGCAGCCAACAAAATGAGGGTGAGTGAACAAGGCTGACTCTTAAATCTTAACAAAACAGACTTACAAAATCAGACATGATCCTAGTGACAGGCTCATTAAGAAACCCTTTAGTGCCCAAAGCCACACATTCCAGAGGTGTCTTATTTCAGTGTAAATGGCCAGACCACAAAAGCCTTCACATGCAACTGCGGTGTAAGGAGGCCCAGATTACCTGAGGAAGACCAAGGGGTTTCAGCCCTGCGATGAGCATCGGACACAGGGTGCTCACACCTCGTGTAACACAGTCGCTGCTGGGTGGCACTTGGCTCCCTCTTCCGAATCAGCCCCAGTAACGAGGCAAAGCCCACATTCAGTGACTGCCTAGCCAGGTAATTTGACCTGCCCTAGAGAGCACAGGTGTTTTATTATTTAAATGAAACCAAAGACACAGAGACAGATATGTTGGAAAAGCAAGCAAAAAAAATACCTAGTGCTGTTGACCCAGGGGAGAAGGCAACAGAAGTCACCAGGAAAAGCTATGAGTTTATCTACGAACAGCCAAGCGGCCGCGCACGGGGCGGTAAGATCCAGGAAAGGCCAGATGATCCTTGTTTTAAGGCAATGCAGTTGGGAAAAACACTTTTCTGCAGTGAGGAGAGGGCATCAAAACACCTCTGCAAATGTTTCCAAAGAGTTACATAGAGGATCTGGACTAATTATGCCAGAGGCAACAGGTAACAATTGCCCAAGTTGATGGCTCTGATGAATTTTGCTCAGTGCGTTGGAAACATTTCCAGAAGACTGACATGGGGGGAGGGGGAACCCCCAAAGCTCACACACCCCCTGGCCCGCTACAACAACATCGCAGAACACAGCAAAAGCACAGTCCTGCCTCGGCCGCCCCTTTCAGGGTCCGTCAGAGCCGAACTAACGCTGGGACCGAGGACAAGTTTCCAAGGGCTAGCCACC